GTCATTGGATAAATTTGTGTAGCTTTTGTATCTTTAAAAATTCCTCATAACCTTGATTTCACAAAATATTTAGAAAATTTTGCTTTTATCATCATCTATTTTGTAATTTATGCACATTTTTAATAGTTTTCATTTATTGGAGAAAAATGTTTGTATAAAAATTTAGTTTTGTTGTTTCTTAAATTTTACAGGATATATTAATTAGAAAAATTTCAGTCTTTGCTTTAGTAGTAAATAAAAGATTCTTAAGTTTCTCTGTTTTTGTATAGGTGCGTCTGCTTCAAAAATAATATTGTAAACTTCATAATACTTGTCTGATTCAAGAACTCAACAGAAACGAAGCTTAGGTTACAAGTTTTTTTATCGCTTTTTGTTTCTTTTATATACATAAAAACAGATTCTTCTTAAAAAAAAAACACACACACACAGTCAAAGTCTCTGTTCAATGTGGACCTTAAGTTTGCTTATAACTCTGCGTGTAGATCAGAACTACAGCTTCTAGTGTCCGAGGAAGATGATGATTCCTTTGTCATGAATCTGGAAATTATGAGTCTCGCTATGTTCTCACCAGCCACTGCACTTGTCTCCATTGTGCTCGCCCCGTTTTCAAAAGCATTCACATAGTACAAATGATGATCATCCAATAAGAAGGGTGCAAAAACTTCAGGCGCGTGGTACTTGGGATAAGCACCCCAGTCTATACGAAGGGTTTCGGTTCTCGCACTGTTTGAGGAAGAAGAAGGACAAGTTTTAACGAAACTAAAGAGATCTGAATGTTAGTAATGAGTTCGACACGGGTTATGTTGTAACTTACCTGAAGAGCTCATCAAGCAATGAATCTGATGCAGGTCGTCGCGTAAATATCTTGTATGTCATATCTGTTTCATTGTATTTCCTTAGAATTGAGATGCTTGAGAATGGAATTAGAGGATCTTCAAGGGTCCCAACCAAAGCTGGAACATCCGAAACCGATTTCATCCCAAAATATCCCTTTATTCAGAAAGACAGTATCACAAATCAGTCAGGAGCGAAGATTTCATGATCAGGGTAAAAGTTAAAACTCAAGACAGTGATTGATACTTACTGGGTTTACAAGTCCTCTCACGAATGTTGCGTGCGTGTGTTGTAATTCCCTCTTGGGAATTGAGATCGCGGGTGAGAACTGAATATCCACCTCGTCTAATGGTGTGGCAACTACTGTGACATCACACTTAAAGCTGTTTCCTTTTGCAGAGTTAAGCTCGTAGTAGTTACCGAGGTGTGAAATGGATTCGATTTTCTCGTTTAGATGTAACGTAACATCCGAATGATTAATCAGCTTTGCAGCCATCTGCCAGTTCCCACCTTCAACAGCCCATAATCCTCCACCTGAACCTGCCAAGGAGACTGCACCGGCTAGTCCACTGATAAGCACACTCTGTCCATAGTTTATCCTTGTAATAACCTGGAGACAACCCAATAATCAAAACATCAATATTGTAGTAGGAATATATTTGTCAATAATTGTGAAAGAGAAGAGTTAACACCAGAATGCATGTCCTGCAGAAGAACCATGTCTCAAACAAGAGATAAAATGAGTTCAGAGAGTGAGAGAAAGCTTACGGTAACTAGCTCGTTGACTAATAAAGGAGATAGCTGAAGTTCAGATAATTTCTCCAGTAGAGTGACCTTTGTGAGATTGTTCAAGCCTGACCATTTAAGCATCCCTTCAACATTGTCGAAGATGGGTCTTGATTCTTGACTCTCATAGTACTTCAAGAAATTACCAACTGTGTTCTACATCCATAAATC